AATTTATATTTGAATTCTATATCTATAAGATATTAAGATTAGAGGCTCAGACAAGTTATCTGCGACCTAAACCTATGTTTGATATATTTGATATATTTAGTTTGTATAAAAGTTTATAAAAAAAGCTGTTTTTGTTAACAAATAAATCTTAACAAAAAGTATAAAAATATTCTAATATAAAATAGACTTTATAATAAACATATTATACAAATAGGTCTAATTATTAAAAAAATTAAATATATAAATAAGAATTTGTTAACTGATTTAAATATAACTCAAAATTCTAAAAAATTAATAAAGTATTATGAAGTTTTTTAATATATCTATATTTTAAAAGGATATTTTTAGATATCTTCTGCAAGAAATATATTTTCTGCAGAGAGATATATATTTTATACTTATTGTTTAATTAAAAAACAAAAATATTATATAATTGGCACTAGCTTAAATTATGTATAACCAATCAACCATATATAATTATATGTAACAAAATAACAATCTTAAAAATAAACTCTAATTATATTTACTTCAAATCTAATTTTAAAATACAAATAACTACTAAATTTTTTTATTAAGATTTTTATTTAAAAGTTAATATATTTAATTGGTAATTTGCTACTTAACCAGAGAGAGCTCATAGTATAATATGATGCAGTTTATATTAGAGTTTTCTGAATATAAATTACTTCTATCTAAATAATTGAAGTTGTAGAGCTCATTGAGATAAATCTAATAGTAATTGAATCATCAAAATTGGCCTAATAGATCATAAGATATCTTCAAAAAATATTTTGACAACTATGTAAACTTCTTAGTATTGTTAAAAGAGAAGTTTACATAATTAGTAAAATATTTTTCGAAGATATCTCATGATTTACAAGATTAATTTTAATGATTTAACCACCATTAAATTTATCTCAACAAGCTCTACAACTTCAATTAGAAGCCCAAAGGTAATTAACTTAGTACAAAAAGTTTTAGATAGAAGCAGCTTATATTCAAAAACCCTAATTTTTATATATAAACTATATCAAATTATACTATGAGCTCTCTCTGGTTGAGTGGCAAATCACTAATTAACTTAGTAAATTATATCATAAATTTATATATCTAGTTAATTTCATAATTTAGTATATAATTGAGCAATTAGGTTTAATAGACAATCTATTTGTTATCTGCAAATTTTATAAATAAATTTTACTATTGAGCTAAATGTGAAGAGATTATATCTAAAACTTTTTTTCTTATTAAGTAAGTTACTCTTAGGCTTCTAATAAAAGTTGTAGAACTTATCAAGATGCATCTAATAGCAGTAAGAATATTAAAATTGGCTTGATAGTTCTTGAAAAATCTTTGAAAAACATTTTGGTAACATATAAAATTTCTTTAAAAAAATTAATTTTTTTAAAAAAATTTTATATGTTGGCAAAAAGTTTTTTTAAAGATTTCTTAAGAACTACCAGGCCAATTTTAATATTCTTACTACTATTAGATGTGTCTTGATAAGCTCTACAACTTTTGTTAGAAGCCCAAGAGTAATTTATTTAATAAGAAAAAAAAATTTAGATATAATCTCTCCACATTTACTAATTGAAGAATTTATATATAATTTATATATAAATCTTGTATAACCTGTGTCACATAGCTCTTCAGATAACTAGTGAATTATTTATTAAACAAATTTTGCAATAAAGTATAATAGGCATATAAGTGGCTAATTACACTTTACTACAAAATTTTGCTCACATCAACTACACAAAATAAACTAATTAGGCTTTTGCTATCTATATAACATATCTTTATGTACTTATTTTAGTACAAAACTTTTATTTTTTGTGTATTGTTTTTAACATTTAGGTTAAATAGAATAAAATTTAATTATTTAAATTAATAGATATGTATTTAGTAGAAATATATACATTAAAAAGTTATAAAAATTGGGTTGGCCAGGAGATAAAAATAAAAAATCATACCAATATTCAAAACCTAATATATTCTATAATACCAAAATGCCACTTCTAGTATTAATTATATGTTTCAGCAAATCTAAGAAGAAAAAAAAGTAGTAGTTAGAAATATTAACTATTTCTGATACTAATTCTATACTCTGACAAAATTTATTAATAACACTATCTGTAGTAAAGATCTTAATATCAAAAATACTCAGGTGACAAAAATTTGAAAATACCAAAACTAAAAGCAATAAAAGCCTAAAATCAACAATACTAAAATTTCTATAAGCAATAGTATAAAATAGTAAAAGATAAATCTTTACAAAAGATGGTATTGAAATGATAATCTCTTAAACAACACTACCAAAATGATGCAAGTTTAGAATCTCTATAAATAATAGCACTAATAAATAATAACAATCACAACAGTAGCACTATTAAACAAACTTATAAAAAAAAAGACAAGAGTTAAAAGAAAAAAAATAACCAAAAAAGGCCACTTATCTTACAAAATCCTAGTTCTGGTGAAATAAAACTACAAAAAAATATTATATTAATTTTAAAAAATCAAATAATAAAAAAAGCTACTTATTTTGCAAAACTCTGGTTCAAATTTTTATTACCTAGTGTTTTAGCAAAGCAAAACTACAAAAAAAGTAATATTAGTTCAAGAGAACTGAAGAAACAAACAATAAAAAGTAAACTCCACTATCTTACAAGAAAACAAAAAACTGCTTAAATCAAAAACCTGATTCTAATCTTTATTGTTTAGTTTTTAGTAAGACAAATCTACAAAAAAAGAAAGTTAGTATTCAAAAAAAAGAACAAACCAGAAAAAATCTCTACTTATTTCACAACAAATATTACTTAGATTAAAGATTTCAGTTCTAATCTTCACTATCAGGTTTCTAATGAAGCAAGCATACAAAAAAAGTTAGTATTTGTTCAAAAAAAGAAAAAAACTTATCTCAAAAGTCCTTTTTCTAAGTGAAGCAAAAAAAATAATATACAAATCTAGATCTAGTACTAGATCTAAATCTAGATTAGTAGAAATAGAAATCAGAAATAAATTAACCCTAAATCTAGTATTAGTACTACTAATAGAAAATAAATTCTCTAAGGGAGATATATTTTCTATAAGAGATGTCTATAATTTCTTTTTTTAAAAACTAACCTAAGCATTTAACAAATTTTCAAATTAATAAGTATTCTAAATTTTTCAAACATTATAAATTTTGAAGTTTTGAGTTTTAGAAGAAATTTCAAAAGAAATTTCAGATTTTAAAAAATAAAGATTAGTTTTTTAATCATAATCATATTTTTCTATATTTATTTTGAATAGAAACTCATTATTTATTCAAAATTTTTTGAAATCAAAAATTTTTATTTATTATTTAAAAAGAGTAACTAAGGATGTTAAAAGTTTGACTTTGATCAACTCAACTCAAAAGTTAAGTTGATTTACTCTAAATTACATTCCAAATATAGCTTATATATTATACAATATACTTTTATATATTTTATGCATCTTTTGTATATTTTTATGTACTTCTTGCATATTTTTATGTATATTTTTATACACTTCTTGCATATTTTATGCACCATTTGCATATTTTATATTCCCTTGCATATTTTATACACTTCTTGTGTATTTTATACATTTTGCATATTTTATGCACCTTTTGCATGATAATATGCAAGGGTAAAAACTTTGCTCAAGAGCAGGTTTGAATTGAGTCTAAAAGTTCTTGCAAAGTTAACTCAAAAACAAACTCCAATAAGCTTTTAACATCTCTAAGAGTAACTCTGTAATTTTAAGCAAAATACTGAAATAAAATGAAAAACTAACATAACCATGGAATTCCATATTTTAATAATATTATTCAAATCAATCATTTTTATTATTCGTGTTAATTTTTAATAAGTATCCATCCCTTATTTAAAATGATTTTTGATTATATTATTTATATAAATTTAGTTAACTATCTGTTTAACGTAATTTTCTAAAAATTTAAACATCGTATTATATAATAAAGTTACAAATTGTCTAATAAACTATAAAAAACGACATTGACATTATAATATACTAGATAATAAGAAAAAAAGTGACAATGACATTTTATCAATTTTTAATTACAATAAAATTTAATAACGACAAAAACAAATTAGAAAAATTAAGTTTGTGTTACTTAAAGCTAATAAGTTAAATATGAAAATCATTTTTAAACAAAACATCCACCAAGACAACGAATAATACCACTGTCATAAACAGTATTACCATCTGACCCTGATGGAAATTTACAAACTTCAAGTGCATTTTCAGGTGCTTGTGGATTCTGTTGGTAAGTAAGACATGCCATTTTCTGAGTACTAGTACCAGTATTAAGAGTATTAAGACCAAGTTTATCTGTAGTTCCATAAGCCCATTGAATACAATCGTCTTCACTAAGGCATTTATTGCAACATTCTTCCGCACTAGAGATATTGTCTGAAATATTGCGTTTAGGACTAGCACGATGAATTTGGTTTGTCCTTCCCGGACCGCCAGGTTTGCAGCAATTTTCACAAGGTTTGACATTTCCAGCATTTACGAAAATTGTAAATGCCAACAAGCATGAAAGAAAGAGTAAGAATAAATTAAAGCTTTTGGGATTCATTGTTAGTATAGAATTAATTCGGATTCAAAAGGATGCTTTAAATTTGATGCGAAAACAAAGGTATTTATTATTGATGGCTAGTATGCAAAAAACTTTGGGATTTTATAATACGTAATATCACGTATGTATCAAATGTTTCGCAACTTTTAAGGCGTTGTAAAATCTAATTTCAAGCATAATTTTGGTCATAAGTATAGATGTTGGTGAAACTAAATAACGTTGGTGAAACTGGTGATTATCTAAAATCTGATTGGCTATTATAATAAATTTCACCAGTTACACCAGCATCTATAGTCATAATTGTCTAAAAATGGTAAATGGCAATATAGTACAAAAGAGTTTATATGGTTGAGTTTGGACGCCAATTTAAAACAATTGAAAAGGTTTGACTACATTCTTTACCGCATGAATATTTTGGTATTTTTGTAACCGCTTTCCAATATTAGTGACTATATCGTAATTATATTTTACTGAAAGTTAGTGGACTCTTCTCAGGTTGTGTTAAGGGAAATGCATAAACTAATTACAATATATGGGAGCTTGTCAATAGAAAGGGGAAATTTCTTCTAAGTAAAAGTTTTTTAAACTGTAAATTAAAGTATCTCAACAACTATTAAACTAAATTTAATAAATTTTTTTATTTAATACTATAAAATTAAAAAATTATAAAGATAAAATTTTAATAAATTTAATTTAGTAGCTATTGAGATATTTTAATTTAAATTTTAAAATAAAGTTATTAAAAACTTTTCCCCTTTTCTATTGACAAGCTCCCATATTTTGTTAACAAACATTGAAAAAATTCACCAATGATTCCCACAGTCCAATCTACCATTGTAAAATGGACTTTTCTTAATAGTATAAGCCCAGCATCCAATCCTGATGCTTAAAGATATGCAATTTTATAATACCTGAATATTTTTCACGTACAGCATAATAACAATACATGCGTAGCACGTCTCTAGACGATGTTACAGAGTAATATGATCATAGATTACGGAAGCAAAGTGCAAAATATCAATTTATAACCAAAATTGACACTTGTGGCATTTATGCAATAGACAAGATAAATTAAAATTAGATATGTTGCATAAGTAGCATATTGAGAGAATATTTTGTGATAAAGTATTTGTAATAATTAGATAAACGTTCGAAAATAAAAATAGTTTATTCCATCTATTACATAGTAATTCATATTTATGTATTTTTTTGCTTACATGGTTCTTGTAATCTAAATTACTTATTTGGTTCAGATTCAACATGCTGTGATAAAGCTAAAGTTCCAGATTAGTTTTGAGATTACCTCAAAATAATCCTGATAAGAGAAGAAGAGGAGATTAAATGTTTATATTACGCGTAATTTTTTATTAATAATTAATTGACTTAAAATAACAAAATAGAAGTTCAGAAATCATGTAATTGCGTCATATATTATATATTACTGTTACGCTATGTTACTCCGGCCCAGTGTTTAAAATTCAGAAAATATTTTACTTGCACAAATTGAAAATTTTGTGTAACAAAAGTGTAAAAATTAATTTTACTATAAAAATTTCCATGCACAGAATTATTTTTTCGTGCACATTAAAAAATTTACATGCACTGTGCATGTATGTGCAAGTCAATTTTAAACCCTGCTCCGGCATAAGTTAATCTTTTGTAAAAAACCAGATGACAAAAAATTGCAAATTTTTATTGTGCTAACTACTTTCCAGCCTTTAAGAAAAATACTCTGCATGAAAATTTACATATGCAACCCAGTTTATTATCTTAAACAATATGAAGAATAACTCATGTTCTGAGTCTAAATGTTTGAATCAGAGGGTTCGATTTTCGCTTGACATATTATCACAAATTTTTAATTAATTTTATTCCTTTTATAACCAAATTTTTTGAATAATCTTTGATGCCAGCTAGCCACAATTATAATAAAATTCTAAACTACACTTTTAATTATTAGTTTAGTACTATAATATCTATTATGTAATAATTGGTGTTCTCAAAAGACAATTAGTACTATTGTTAGAAGGCAAATTTCCAATAACGTTTTTATCACAAGTAGAAGTCAGAAGTGCACGCATCTCAGAAGATGACTTACGCCCAAAAGTACATAGATATAAAGCAACTGCTCCGGCTACATGCGGTGAAGCCATACTAGTTCCTGAAAGTGTCGCAGTAATGTGGTTTACTAAACCAGCAACAAATGTTGATAATATTCCTTCCCCTAAATATAATAAAACAAATCTATTAAAATTTTTGTAAATTGAAGAATTATATAACGATACAATAAATTACAACACGTACCTGGTGCATATATTGGAACACAAGGTCCGGTATCAGAAAAACTTGAAACCGAATCATCACTAGTATTTTTAACAGATCCCACAGCAATAGCAGAGGGAGCTGAAGCTGGTGAAACATTACATGCGTTGCCACCATCATTTCCTGCAGCTACAACTACATTAATACCCTTAGCGGTAAGGGCTTCTACTGCTTCATTTAGTGCTTGAGACACACCACCTCCAAGTGACATGCTTTAAAAAGAAGAAAATTAATACTTTATTACATAAAAGGTAAGGTTTCATAATAAGAAACTTACTTCACGACTGATTTTCTACCGGTTTTTGCAGCTCTTCTACATACGTATTGAAGGCCTTTAATTACATCTGAATCAGAGCCAGACCCAGCACTATTTATCACTTTAACCGCAATGAGACTAGCATTCTTGGCAACGCCATATGTTTTTGATGCAACCTATTATTCAATTTATATATAATGAATTATTTTTACAAATGCCAAAAAAAAAACATTAAAATACGTACAATTCCAGCAACGTGAGTTCCGTGACTTTTTTTTTTTATCAAAAAAATTGAAAATTAAAGATGAGAATTTTATAACTAATGAATTTTCTATAAGATTCACATGTTTATTTACCCGTTATCATCCATAGGGCATGGTAAACAGTAGTTACATACAGATTTTCCATATTTTGCTCTACCTTCAAATTCTGGATGTGCAATATCAATACCACTACATATTTTGATTCCAATTAATTATCTTAGATAATAAAAAAAAAAGTTAATTATATAAAAAAATGAAAATACTCACGTATCAACTATATAAACATCTACGTCACCACCCGCACAACTTGGATAAGTATATTTATTATCCAAGGGACGGTGTTCTTGATCACATCTATCAAGATTCTAATGTTTCATTAAATTGTTATGAAAATTAAAGATTGTTTAGATTAAAAATAAATTAAATTAAATCAAATAAAATAAATCATACCCAAACAGGATTCTCTTGAGTAATTCCTCGTTGCGGTTTAGAACTGTTTTTGTTTGAAGTTTTTGAACTGTTTGAATCGTTTAAATCAAAAGCTTTCATTTCTACCGCCTTATCAACACGAGAAACAGCATCCCATTCCGATAATGCTTTGACAACTTCTTCACTATAAAATCCACTAAATGCAAAATAATCACTATCTAAACTAAGATCTCTAAAAGACTTATTAGGAATTATATTAGCCTTAGGAATGTCCAAACGTTTCTTAGGAGTTGCTGGAGATTTCAACGGTATCTTGGGAGTTTCCGAAGGTTTCGAAGGTATATTAGGATGTCCCACAGGTATATTAGGAGGTCCCACAGGTACAGAAGGAGGTTCTGAAGGTATATTAACACTTGCGGATTCAATACATTTATCTACCGTGTCTATATCTGAGAGTAACTCCTCCAATTTATCAGATATTCCAAAGCAGCTTGCAATAATTTTGAATTGTTCCAGTGCTTCTTCTGGAGATTTTGTTTTGAGAAGTACATTATATTCAGTATCTGAAGTAGTATTGGCGGTGCTTGGACAATTAAAATTAGCTCCCGCTTTTACAGAAGTTGTTATGAAGGTAAGAATAGTGAATATAAGTGATATTAAATTAACGGTTTTAATTGATTTTAACATTTTGATTCTGTATTATCTATTTCATAAAAGAGCGAATATATATGAATGAATAAAAAGAATTAAAAAAAAAATAAATCGAAGACCATTCTTTTCTTTAGCAAATCATCTTTTATATACAGTATTCGATACGCCATACTGTATTGCTTACATGCATGTCTTTAATGGTTTTTAAATAATATATGCTTATATGCATGTGTTTAATGTTGTTAAATAATATATATAGTTAAAGGAATAAAAAATTTTTTTTCAATTCGCACAGTAATATTTTAATGCAGTAATGTTTGCTTAACGTTAATAGATCATTATACCCAATTAGGCAATCAAGTAATTTAATTAACGTTAAGATTTCGTAATAATTGGTCAGTCATGCCCGGTTAGGCTATCAAATATTTATTACAGTTACTATTATCACAAATAATAATGAATTTCCTATTTCAGGCGTCCACAGCAGGTGCATTCACGTGACTTAAAACCAATAATGAATCAATCTGGCCGATAATACAGTCAGGAAATATACCAAATTTGGAAATCGGATTCTGGAATGATCTATGACGACGTGATTGGTTCTCGCACATTTCTTTAATGGCTTTCGCGTAACTTTTTACCTCATATTGCAACTTTTAATTTTAAAATTTAATTCGTTATAAAAAACGCATAGTTAGACAGTATA